TGGTAATCTCTCACTGACCTATTCACTCATTGCATAAATGAATTCTTCCTTCAGTGGAATCTCCCTTATCTGCTTCATTTTCTTGAACATTCATATAAACTTCTATTACAACTGTTTGGGCTAAGGATCTTTGAGGATGTGCATGCTTTATTTTCGCATCAGGTATGAGAGGTTTAAATCGGCTCAGTTTTCAGAGATTATTTTCGGTGTTTAATTTTCACTGCTGAAATGAAAAACAATGAAAAATCCATCCATGCTCAACTACACAAGCCCCAAACCAAGCGAGCCAGTTTGCCTACCAACCAAAGTAAAGGGGGAAAAATAACCTCAAACCAGGCTCAGTTGGGCATGACAATTTCTCCTCTGGCCAAACTTTCTGTACAGAGCTGCAGTCTAGGCACCGGATGCTGGAGAATGGTGGACATCCATTGTGGAGAAGCTGCAGATGGGAGAGGTCAGCGGCTGGTGTACAGACTGACCCTTCAGGATCAATATGTAGACTCGTGGGTCACTATAGGGTCTTAAAAGAATTAATCTCATGCTCTAATACACCAGGAGCTCCCTCAAATACTGGGCAGCTAAGGCATTGAGGGCTTTGTAGGTAAACAATAACATTGTAAATTAAATATTTAATAGTGAGTCAATGCACCGATGAAAGAACTGGAGTAATGGGATTTCTTAGTTCTAGAAAGCACTCTAGCAGCTGCATTTTGAACCAGCTGCAGTTTGTTAGTGAGGCCAGCAGGGCATCCGCCTAGTAACTCATTACAGTAGTCTAATCGAGAGGTAATGAAAGCATGAATAAGCTTTTCTGCATCAGTTATTGATAGCTCGTCAAAGTTTGGCAACATTAAGATGAAGAAATTGAGTTTTACAGATGCTTAATCTGGCCTTACACAGGTTGCTGTCAGAAATAGCCCCCAAATTACTGACTGAAGATGAGTACTAGTTTAGGGCACACTTGTCAGCTCTACAAAGCTGACCAATCACAGCTTGCTCTATTCATTGAGGTGTGCATCATTGTCTGACTGCCACAGCAAGGGCTATGTGGCCATGCACAGGTTGTGCTGAAGCATACTTTTGTGCTTGATGCAGAAGTATAAATACGCCTTTAGGAGTGCTGTTTCTGTGCTATGAGATTGTCTACATCCAGATTAAAATTTTTCATAAACTTTAGCTGCTTTTCCACTCGCTGAATCGTTCTCTAAATGGAACTGCTCAATTTTGTGCCAAACTGGGCCAGGCAGCACTAATACAGTTTTATTTTCCACTCATGCTGCAACAGCTCTTTGAAACATAACACAACCCATCAGTAGTTGCCTTTAATGCAATGTAAACCGCTCCATTTGTTCAATTAAACTCAATAGCTAAAACACACTTTCAAGTTGATAAACAAAAGCAACCAAGTGAATAAACACTGCTATGCCGCTCATATTGTGGTGCTGCATATAGGTACATGTTACAGCACCTTTTTTTAGAGGTTGTATGTTGCACGCCTCTGGCTAAATTTAATTTGGAGGGGAAATGACAATGTAACGATTGAAAATGTTTGCAGGGGGAATAAATGTTTAAGATCTCTGAATATGACATAAAATTAAACTATGATGCAACTAGTGCATTTGTATTACAATAGCAGAAATATATTTTGGATGGGCCTTGTCAAAATTGAGCGGGCACTATAATGGCACTCAACTTTAATTTTTACAATCTATAAGTTGATTATATAACGTGCTACATTTTGATGGTAAAATATATAACCCTTTAAACCAGAGGTGTCAAACTAAACTCCTGGAGGGCTGAAGCCCTGCACAGTTTAGTTCCAACCCTGCTCCAACACACTTACCTGTAGGTTTCAAACAAGCCTGAAGGACTCAATTAGTTTGATCAGGTGTTTAATTAAGGTTGGAACTAAACTGTGCAGAGCTGCGGCCCTTTTGGAACTGAGTTTGACACCCGTGTTAAACAATAGCTGTTAAGTATTCAAACATTAAATGAATGCAGCAAGTGAAAAACGGATTTGAAAATGCATCAGGATATAAAGATTTATTTATCAGCTTGACATTTTTAGAAAATTTTTGCATAGCTACCCAGTATATATTACAGATCAGGAAATAAAACAAAAGCGTTACACAGCCCCATAAATGTCAAACTTGTGTATAACTAAATCACAATGGCCTACTGCTGAAATGCTGAATTTATTATTCATTTATTAACATGTCAAAACCTAGTGATTATTTTGAGAGCAATGCTGACATTTATTAAATTCATTGTGACTAGTTTATCAGAGCATATATAGACTAAAAAAATCATACAACAGTACCTTGGACAGCAGTGCCACTCTAAAGCTTTAGAGCAAAGTAAAAAAAATTATTGAAAGTTGTTTTTTTCTACCAGGCTTCGATGATACACATTTCTTATTTGCTTTATTCGATGCGCAGTAGGAAAAAGTCTCAGTGCATGTAGTCATTGGTTTAATTCTCTCCTGGATCAAAGCGAGATTTGTGCCACAAATACAGTGCTGCATGCAATAAACTTGCGTCAGTCAGGTGAATTAAAGGTCTTAAATGCTCAGGATGTCAATCAAATTATTAAACTCACCATTAATAAAATAGTAGGCTATTTCATTATTTTAGATGACTGGTTAGAAAATAAACCATGTATAAAATAAGTCAATGAAATAACGGAGTTATTCACTTCTCTTCCAGAGACTGCTCTATGGTTTAAACCCTTTTAAAACTATTGTTAGACCAGGCAGCACTAATATGGTTTTATTTTCCACTCATTCTGCAACAGCTCTTTGAAACCTTGCACAACACATCAGTAGTTGCCTTTAATTCAATGTAAACCGTCCCTGTTCAATTAAACTTAAAAGCTGAACTTGCAAGTTAATAAACAAAAGCAACCAAGTGAATAAACACTGCTATGCCGCTCTCATATAGTGGTGCTGCATATAGGTACATGTTACAGCACCTTTTTTTTTTTTTTTAAATGTCATATGTTGTGCGCCTCTGGCTAAATTTAATTTTTAGGGGAAATGACAAATGTAACAATTAAAAATGTTTGCAGGGGGAAAAAAAGTAATTAAGATTTCTGAACTTGACATAAAATTAAACTATGATAATGCAACAATAGTGCATTTGTATTACAATAGCAGAAATATATTTTGTATGGGCCTTGTCAAAAGTGAGTTGGCACTTTAATAGCACTTAACTTTAATTTTTACAATCTATAAGTTGATTATACATTTTGATGGTAAAATATAACCCTTTAAACCAGGGGTGTCAACTAGATTCCTGGAGGGCTGATGCCCAGTTTAGTTCCAACCCTGCTCCAACACTTACCTGTAGGTTTCAAACAAGCCTGAAGGACTCAATTAGTTTGATCAGGTGTTTAATTAGGGTTGGAACTAAACTGCAGAGCTGCGGCCCTTTTGGAACTGAGTTTGACACCTGTTTTAAACAATGGCTGTTAAGTATTCAAACATTAAATAATGAATGCAGCAGGTGAAATAAATGTGAATGCATCAGGATTTGAAGCACTATTTATCAGCTTGACATTTTTAAAATTTTTGCATGGGTACCCAGTATATATTAAAGATCAGGGAACAAAACAACACAAACGTTACACAGCCCCATAAATGTCAAACTTGTGTATAACTGAATCATAATGGCCTACTGCTGAAATGCTGAAAATTGCTCATTAACATGTCAGAACCTAGTGATTTTAAGAGCAATACCGACTTAGTTTAAATTCATTTGACTGGTTTATTAGAGCATATATAGACTAAGAAATCATACAACAGTACCTTGGACGGCAGTGTTTAATTATTGAAAGTTGACTTTCTACCATAGGCTTTAATACGCATTTCTTATTTGCTTTATTCGATGCGCAGCAGGAAAAAGTCTGTGCATGTAGTCATTGGTTTAATACACTCCTAGATCGGAGCAAGATTTGTGCTACCAAATACAGTGCTGTGTGCAATAAACTTGCATTAGTCAGGCGAATGAAAGGTCTCAATTGCTTCATGTCAATCAAATTATTAAACTCTTAACATTTATTAAATAGGCTTTCATTATTTTAGATGACTGGTTGGATAAAAAAACATGTATAAAATAAGTCAATAAGATAACTGAGTTATAAGTTATTTACTTCTCTTCCAGAGACTGCTCTATGGTTTAAACCCTTTTTAAACTATTGTCTGACCTGTGTAATTTTTCTTATATTAAATGAAGTTTACTTGTGGATGTCTGGCTAGCATGCTTCTGAGCCAGCTGTGGTAGCTTGGTAACAGCCCTGACATACACGCATAATCTATCAGCACGGTTGTCTAACCATGCTTAGAATTC